AAGTTACAGAAAATAACAGAATCCCGAGTATCAACAAGGATATAGAATGCGACATGGTGGGAGCGGTGAGAGCGAATTCGAAGAGGCTCTGTGTCAGCTGCGTCATGGGTTCGAAGCATGGTATAGTTCTGGTACAAAATGGTAGCTTACGTAGAAGCAACCGTTGTAACCAGGTCATTCTTCAACAATACAAGCCTAGACAGGATATGCACGGAAATATGGACCCTAACTGGAGATACTATGTATAATCACAAAGAGAAAACAAATTTTCAATAGATTAATCAATATGGCGGAGGAGAACCCGCGAAAAGTGCTAGTTCTGCATGATCTGCATGTCTAAGCATTTGTTCGAGCATATAAATTCGCTGTTCCATTTGTTGGATAGGTTCACTGGGAGGTAGAGGTTCGTTGGGACTGTTGGTTGAGTTCGTAGTATTGGCAGTATTGGTATTAGGGACTTCAGGTTGAGGATGAGAAGTAGACTCGGATGGAGATTCTTCTGATGGATACGCGAGATAAGTAAACATCACACTGGACTGAATTTTAGTGACTCTGTAAAGACTCACCAGTGTCTCGCACTTGACCTCTAACAGGTAAGAGTAACGCAGACGGACCTAAATGTAGACTTGCGGGAGTCACGGGAGTTGCACTACTGGTTACATTTGGAAGTATTTCTCGTCGTGCACCTTTTTCTAGCGGCAGTTGACTATCCAAATCTATGTTTTCAAGGTGAAATGAAATCACGATGGAAAATGAAAAATACACACTATGATCATAGCGAAAACTCTCGAGCCCTGGAATTGAACTCGGAGCCTGCTTTGACTTCCTCCTTCGCCGCGCAAGTAAGAAAACTATGACAGCAACCAACGCCAGACCGATGACACTCCCCAGAACCGCACCAACAATCGTCGCAGCGGCCGTTTTGGATTTCTGGGAAGCGAGTATTGCAGCACTAGTGCCAGTGGACACTTGGCCTGATGCTGTTGGGCTCGGTAGTAATATCATAGTGGAGGTTTCCACGGATGTTCCGATTGTGATGAGGATAATGGAGGATGAAACTGTGAAACCAGAATTGGATGTAGTAGATGAGGACGTGTTGGTGGCGGTAGTGGTAGGAGAAGGACCATTAGTTGTGGTTGGTGATAGGTTGCTGCTCGTGGAAAAAGATGTTCCGGAAGGCGGGTTGTTCTGGGTGGAAGAGGGGGGAAGGGATACTTGAGACCTGTAAAACACGTAAGTGGCAGAAACGACGAGTCGAAAACAAATTAATCTACGTAGATGACGAGGAGGTGACGGCTTGACTTTGACCACTATTAACAACTGAGGACCCGGTGTTCTCTGAGCCACTACTGGAAGTACTCGAGGTGGAGGAACTCGCAACGTCGGAAGTGACTATCGCGTAGTCAATCAACGCAACAGCATTCGAGACACTAGTTTCGATAGTCCACGAAAGAGTATGAGAACCACTCGAAAGCCCGGATGCACTGAAGAACTGATAATTGTATACTTCAGTGGGGGATTGAGGTATTGACGAGAGGTCAAGATTGACTGGAGAGCCACCGTCTAGCACGAATGTTATTGCGCACGTTTGGTCGGCATTGGTCACACCGTAGAGTGTTACACCGGAACCTGATAAGTGATAAGTTGGGTTGTATCCCGAGTGGGCTTGGCTAAACTGTCCACCAAAAAAATAAAAACTCGTCGAAAATCGTACCTTCGAACTTGAATGACGCTGTACTCCCAGCTACCGATCCATCATGCCATGTCCCGTCCAGAACCTGGGTTGAATCTAATTTCGTAGCACACCCATCGCATGGGTCTGAGGGAGTTATAGCGTTCCAAGCCGAAACGAACGTGAAAGCACTGGAATTTGCATCATCAACGGTAGTGGTGGTGGTGGCTGCCTGTACCGTTAGGCAAACAGGGTAGCTAGTAGACCATGCAAGGAGGATAGCGGTCACCCGAATAAAGGCTGTAAAAGAATGACTGGGATAAAGGATAGGAGATGAACGAAAAGCACCCATCAGGAAAAGGAAAAGAGCAATATCATCTACATTTCCTCTAACTCAAAGGTAAATGAGAGGCGGCTACAACATCACCGTATCATGTTAGTAGATCAGTTCAGGATTAGTTGTCAGTATGTAGCATTGCCAGTTATCCGGCACCCGCAACGGGAGTCTGGGATTTCCTCTATTCATATCCTGTACATATTGACTGATCCATCTGTGAATATGAATTCACCTTTCAGGCTTGACAGATCCCTTTATTCAACTTCCTGGAATGTTTCCTGGCGTCTCAGGCCCCCAGCCTGTACCGAGTGTGCCTGTATGAAAAGATAGTATCCGTCTTGGATTACAGAAAGCGTCTGTCGCCACTGTCCACGCTGAATCTCCTTCGAAACCCTCTGTCGCCCAAGCACCGCCAGACTCCGGGAAGGTGTAGGTATGGGAAGTATTTCAACATTGCGGGATTCGTGAGGATGTACCTTTTCTTTTTCTAGAACTCTATACGTATTGTACTTACCAGTACACAGTAGCACTCAACAATTTGGACTTCACAACTCTGTCCCACGATAACGGCAGCTATGAGAAGATGATTGAAACTCAAGGTGGATGTGATTTGAACCAGTCACTGTTGACTGTTGGCATCTCCTAACAAAATCACATGAGAGAGACGCGTTTAGAACATGCAACAGCGGTCGCCGTTAAAGTCTCAGGAAGTTTGTGTCTTGACACGTTTCTCCTCCTTAGCTCTCTGTCGTCGTCCGAGCTCCTCTCTGGAAATATGAGGATGAGATGCACAGAATTTCTCTGTCTAGACACCAAGGTTATAGAACAGCGGCAGGATAGGGGTAAAGTACTCATGCAACGAAGAAGGTGTGCACACACATCATTTTAGCGTTCGGTATCGAAAAGCTGGACGCCGTGCGAGCCTTACGATGTGCGAGACGAACGCGATGTGTAGATCGAACTTTGAGACCGCCGCTCGAAGTCTGCCGTCGGCTTGCGATGCGCTCAATTCGTTACTGTCGAAACAAACACGAGATAAAGAAGACAGGACAGTGAGAAAAAACAAAAGATGTGAGGTGAAAATTGACATCATACGGGCCGCACTTTGCTGACACTGCGTGGAATACATCATTTGAGCATTATTCTAATGTCATGAAAATTCTGAGCAAAAGAACAATTCTCTCATTGATCAAAGGTTATAAATATCCAATGAGACTATAGTAAGATTACACATAGTTTTCACCAACTTTACTCACTGTGTATATTCTCCTTAGTGAAAAGTTTGACTTTTCCTCAAATGTGAAAACTTTAAATTATCTCAATGTAATCATGCTGAGCAAATTCAAACTTTTCTCAGTGATAAAATCTTATGATTATTGTTCATTTACTCAAGTTCATTTTAACATTGTGTCAGTGCTCAAATGATGAATTCCTCGCAGTGTGAAAGAGCAACCGTATCGTTAAATTGAAGGTCTCCGGGATAGAGAATTTGAATGTTTAGCCTATCTATCTCGATAGAGTTTGTGGCTTCAAAATTGTCATTTGTTCTGTTGGCCTCCATTATTCAATTGTGCGCGCGCCTAGGAGACTGCTAACTTGAACGAGAGCGAGTGTTATTGATGGACGCTGACTCTTGAGTGTAGGGCAGTGGGCTACCGTCGGGGAAATCCGTAAATTATGTGAACATTCTCAATACCTTCGAAATTAACACTCAACGGGCCTCCCAGGTATGACAATAATAACTCGTACAGTTGTACATGTAGGAAATAAAATACATGCTGTAGAGATAGGATATAATACATAAGTTTACAACCTTCCAAAATTTCATCCACCAACCTTGATTAGATACCACCCGTACGCCTGTTCACCGCTCTCAAGGAAACACACTCAAACTTTCTTCTCAATTTGGCTTTCTCTGTCAGATTCCACTCAGTGTGACCATCCGCTGAATTTCGTTTCGTTATCGTCAACATCTTCACATCCCTCTTTAAATCAAGCGAATTATCTACTTCTGCTTCTTCTCCTTGATCTTCCTCCAAGACTTCGTCTTCTGCTAATTCAACGCCGCTGCTAGCTACTTGCTCCGGCGTCGCATGAGTGTCTGTACCACCTTGGAAGAACGACACTAGAGGGGAAGCGAAATTGGACGTTATGAATTCCGAGGCATCGTCGATAAAGGATTTCGGTTTTCGTAGAGGGACGGAGGTGAGTATATACGTATTGTCTTTCCATGAAGTATTGGCGGAGAAAAGCGGATAAGTTGGATCACAGTCAAACTCGACGTAAATTTCACCGCTGAGAGGAGTGTAGGTAAATTTAGGCAGAGGATGAGCGTAGTGGTTGGGAAATGGGAGTGAGATAGGACGACGGTGTCGGAGGACGAGGTGGTTATCTGTCAAGATTTGAAAGACACTGGTCAGGCCATTGAATGTATTAGATAGGGTGTATTCGCACCTTCGATATCGATAGCATGTCCCGATGCCCTGGAGCATAAAGCACCGGATGTATCAATGAAGAAAACTTGGTTATTGGCCTGAGGATCTCTTCGAGCTACATCCAGGAAAAGAGCAATGAACATCAGCAGCAATTGAAGAACTCGATTACTGACATTCAACCAATGAACTTTCCTTCTCCGGCCAAAGAATGATCTCTGTTCCATCCTCTGCGTAATCACCAGCGACGTCGAGTAGTCGTCCTGTTGCTAGTGAACGGATTATGAAGTAGCCAGGTGGGAAACCGTTGGATCTGGATTCTGGTGATGGTTGAGGAGGAGAGGATTGCGGGCTTGCGAGATTAGAGATAGCCGTCATGGTCGAGAGAAATTACTGGATGTCGATCACAATGGAGAAATGGTAGAGAGGTCTGGCGCTAATTATATGAGTGAGGCACTGCCTTTAAGTTATCTCTACATGAATCCTTACACTGCCCTAGCGTCAACAGGAAAAACCTAGAACATTCCAAGTCAGTAAGTCTCAAAAATCAAAACTCTCATGCATTAAGAGGGAATCGAACCCCCGGCGGGTCGAACTGAACACCGAGATGGCAACGACCCAGGTTACCACTACCCCATTAATGCTGTGTAGAGCTGCCCAACCACCAACTACTATCACTGCTTGACTTTTGGAAGAAGGCAAATTTAGCACTCTATCCTGTTCAAATCAGGAAAGACAAAGTTAGCGAGTACCATAGACTCGGCGAATAACTGAAAACCCATTAAAAGAAAGCCTTAGATAGGCCTTAGAGGAAGAGGCCGACGTCCAGCGCTTATTCGGTAATCAAGCGCTTTAGCCTTTTTCACTTTTACTCGAACGAAATTCTGTGGAGAGCCTACTGTAAGGAAATCGACTGAATTCAAAAACTCCAGGGAATATGGAAACCCCTGTGCGTTCTTCCAAGTGCTGAATGTCAGTCAAATGGCTTACGAAGAAGGCAGACAGGGCGGAAACGTTGCGAACAACTCTTTAAATCGAAGTATGCAAGGCCTTTGGAAAAGGAATAACATGAAAAGTACAAAAATCAACCTGAATAATTCGAATTTGAATGCTATTTCATCGACTACGACCACTCCTACAACGGAGGAAGCTCCGGCCAATCAGAATCCGAATCAAACGATTTCAACTCTGGTGGAAGCTCCTGAAGATGGTGTTGCTGCTCCTGCTGTTCTCCCGATTGTTAACGGAAAACGCAAGATTCGTTCATCACGAACAACCGACTCTGAAAGTAAGCGACAAAAAGTTTCCACAACCACCAAAACCACATCTAAAGATCACACCCCTCCCTCTACTCGACTCTCTGACCTGGGTGGTGTCGATGCTTGTATCGAGAAAATGCTTGAATATATCGCTATGCCACTGTGTCATCCAGAGATCTACTTGCATACGGGTATACAGCCTCCGAGAGGGGTACTGTTACATGGTCCACCAGGGTGTGGTAAGACGATGTTAGCCGGTGCTATGGCTGGGGTGCGTTCTATTCTCTCTAGTTTCCTTCATGTTTCTTCTTTATCCGTTTCCGATTCTTTTTACGTTAAACCGTGGCTGGGCTCGCACTGATGAATACTTTGGTCTGGTTATCAGGAGTTAGGTGTACCATTCATCAACATTTCGGCACCGTCGATAGTCTCTGGGATGTCGGGAGAGTCAGAGAAGACACTTAGGGATGCGTTCGAAGAAGCAAAGGTGAACCTTCCTTTCCTGAGCCATTCTGTGTCCTTCATACTCCCTCCCCGCGTTTCCCTTTATTTCTGGCTAACGGTCGTTTCTACGGTATAGCGCCTCGCACCAAGTCTATTATTCATCGACGAAATCGATGCCGTCACTCCCAAACGTGAAAGTGCCCAGAGGGAAATGGAACGGAGGATCGTGGCTCAATTTCTTACTTGCATGGATGGTACGTTTAATCTCGATCTTTCCCTGCCTTATAGGTCCTCAATTCTTTCTCGTATCTTTCTATGCCTACCTGAAATTATTGCTCATGCATCTTCTTCACTTTAGAATTATCCTGGGACAAAACCGAGCACAAACCTGTCATAGTAATCGGTGCAACAAACCGACCGGATTCGTTAGATGCTGCGTTGAGGAGAGCAGGGAGGTTTGATCATGAGATAAGTATGGGTGTACCTGACGATGAAGCTAGGGAAAAGTAAGTACCAACATCTTCCACTTCTCTACCTTTTCCTTCCTCGCTCGTTCTTTCTCCCACCCTTTCTCTTCCTCGTTACTTCAAAGTTGTATCGTTGATTCCGCCTATAACACTGATGATCCTTGCAGAATCCTCCGGGTGCTCTCTTCCAAACTCCGACTCGAAGGTAACTTCGACTTCACCGCACTAGCCAAAGCCACACCAGGATATGTAGGCGCAGATTTATCGTCGCTCACGGCTGCGGCGGGAATTAATGCTGTGAAGAGGATTTTTAAACAGTTGGGGGATATACCGCTCAATGGCATCTCAGACGTTGCACTCCCCGTTATGACGACTGTCGTGGAGGAAAGGCAGGAAGTGGCAACGGCTGAAGTAGATATGTCAACTGACGAGGCTAACGAGGTCATGATGCAGATCGATATTGATCAAACATTTGAAGGGGGAGATGCCGTCGCCTCGCAGCCAGAACCAGAATCATTACCCTTATCTTCAAAATCTAATATCTCATTCCCTTCAACCTTCGGACCCATCGCCCTCTTCCTCAACGCCCACCCTACCCCTTTGACCCCCACCCAACTCTCTCCATTATGCATAACCTCCTCCGACTTCCACCTCGCCCTCACCCAAATCCAACCGTCCTCCAAACGCGAAGGGTTCGCTACAGTCCCCGACGTCACCTGGTCTGACGTCGGAGCTCTCCACAATCTCCGGGAAGAGTTGAATATGGCTGTGGTACAGCCTATAAAATACCCCGACCTCTTCCGAGGGGTAGGGATCGACGCTGCTTGTGGGGTTTTACTCTGGGGTCCACCAGGTTGCGGGAAGACATTGCTAGCAAAGGCGGTAGCGAATGAGAGTCGAGCAAATTTCATCAGTGTTAAAGGCCCGGAGCTTTTGAACAAATACGTTGGTGAATCCGAACGCGCCGTGCGTCAATTATTCTCCCGCGCACGCGCTTCCTCCCCGTGTATCGTATTCTTCGACGAGCTCGATGCTCTGGTTCCTCGTAGGGACGATTCATTATCCGAATCCTCTGCACGGGTGGTCAATACCCTCCTAACGGAACTCGATGGACTCGACTCACACAATGCAAGGAAGGCTGTATACGTAATTGCCGCAACAAATAGACCGGATATGATTGACCCTGCGATGGTTAGACCAGGGAGGTTAGATAAGTTGTTATATGTGGATCTGCCGACTGGGCAGGAGAGGGTGGAGATCGTTAGGACATTGGTTAGGGGGGTGCCGTTGGAGGAGGGTGGTAAAATCATTAGAGCTCATAGGTTAGATGAAGCCGATACCACTGCTGGAGAGGGTCCGGGCTCAGGAGAGGCCAGGGAACGAGCGCTGGGATTCATAGAGGACTTCATCAGAGGGGGAAAATGCGATGGGTACAGCGGAGCAGATCTTAAAGCATTGGTGCGAGAAGCCGGTGTTATCGCGTTGAGGAGAACATTGGGTTTGTTGAACAATTTGGGAATGAAGGGAGTGGTAGATACGCAAGCTACCGAACCGTCGACATCCACCCCGACCGTATTCGTCCGAGACACTGATTTCATCCAAGCACAAGAAAAGGTCTATCCCAGTGTTAGCTTGGCCCAGAGGAGGAAGTATGAAATCTTGAAGTCGAAGATGAGTGGACTTCCAGTGCTTCCTGCAAGAGTCGGGAGAGTTGAAAATGAGGAGGAGGGGAATGGCGGTAATGGCTCACTAATATAGCTATGTTCTAGCCACCTCATAAATATCTTTTCTGGTCTACATAGCCCTGATAGAGCGAATTCATTGAAGAAATTGTTATTCTCTTGCTTGTCAAGTGCTATCTACATCTATATCTATAAACAGAGGTCTGTTGATCTTATTCATTTGCTAGGTTCCCTTCGCATAATTCTGAGGCTATCCCCGAGGCTATCTATTACAGACTGTTCATAAGCAATCTTCAACCTGGATTTCCAGCTGGACAATTGAAACATTGACTGCTTACATGTAAACAGGATCACTATTTACTGCAAAATGATCAAACGGTGTGATCTACAACTACAAAACCCTTCCAAAGAGGGGGCGGGGATCATTGCACAAGGACATAGGAAGTTCTCTCATGTATAAGTCACCTCTTTAGCAATCATAATATATGCATTAATGGGGTAGTGGTAACCTGGGTCGTTGCCATTGCGTTGTATTCGACCCGCCGGGGGTTCGATTCCCTCTTAATGCATAGCAAGTGGCGCCTGTTAACTTTGCGATATTATTTTTTCACTAGGGAGAACATATATAAATCCCTATTTCTTTCAGACCTCGATCTATTGACTTCATACGTGATTCGATGTTTGGATGTGCTATGCGGTCAATTCGGAACCTCTAGTGAATGCCGAGCGAGGTGAAAGTATCTTTGCAGCTACTGCTTGAAGGAGACCACATATTACGAAGCGCGAGTGAAGAGAAGATTTCAAGAAACTAAGAGGGCAATTGATAGAGAAGGTGATGAACAGAAACAGAACCGGAGGAAGCATTTGAAGATGATCTACCGGTCTGGTACGCACTGTGGGAGTTGTTGCCGTTATCGCTTTTTGTCGTTTGAACGGTTCAAGTAAGCTTGAGCGCGCGACAAAGGTTTGATTTCTCGGAAGGATGCCATTATCCCCCCTTACAAGATATTAAAATTGGGGAACACTAGCTACACGCTAGAGCCATGGGCCGCAAATTCGGATGGATTTAAACTAATGGGTGGATTAGCTGAATCCCCCGCTGGTGTTTAAACAAGTTTAACCCTTACCAATGCCTATATAACATTTCTCCTGTCTCCAACAACCTTATACCCTCTTTTCGCCTGTCTCTCTTTCGTCATTTCCTCCTTTGTCTTGACCATGTACCCGGGGACATTCTCCACCTGCACGAGCTCTTTCACCTTCAAAATCTTTCCTGCGGCTTCGGGTGTATGTTTATGATACACTGTCTGGAATCTTCTGTGTATACCAAGGGAGGTAAGTGTATCTTTGATGCGCGAGCCGAGAGAGATGGCGGAGCGGTGGAGGGTTATTTTGTAATGCGTTGTCATCGTCGGTTGTGGTGGAAGCTCTCCAGAGGCCGTGGCAAATGGTGGATTTGGTGGAGGCGGTGGAGTCGATGAAGGAGAAGAGTGGAGGAGCAGGCGTGTCGGGGAGGTAGAGATTGCCCGTGCAAAGAAAGGTTTAACGCGCGTACAATCCAATAGGTAGCGTGAGGACATAGCTGAATAGAGAATTAATCAGAGAATGAACAATTCACAGTTACATACTATGATGAATAAACCTGGAATGAAGAAGAGGATTTTCGGCGCTTATTCCGCAAACATTTTTTTATCTAGCGCCCGTTCTGCACTGTTCTACTAAGTACCGGTCAAGTCTTGGAGGAGCTTGAAAGTCAAGCCCACCGGGAGACGAAACGTCGCTACGCCCTCAT